TGTGTTGTATTGGTCAGCAGTGAGGCCTGGATTAAGCTATCTTTATGTCACAGGCAGCTTCTTGCTTTTTCTCTCTTATTTTCAGCACAATGAACTTAATACCAATTAAACTTTTTGGTATTTCATGTGAACTGAAGTATGGAATTTATTGTATTTCTGCATGAAATGATGGAATGGTTTTAAACGGCTCTATTCTCCCTTTGGGACACCCAGTAACTCGAAATGCACTGGATGTAGTGTATGTTTGCTGCAGCTGTTACTAATCGATCTCTTCTGGCTGACATCCAAATAAAAAAATTCTTACTAGTGAAGCAAAACGTGAGTGTGGAAAGGTGTTCTTAAAGGAAGGGTTTGGGCTGCCAGAGTAGGAGGACATGACAAGTAAAATATTTAAATGAGACGTGTGAAAACCTTATGTTCTTTTATCAGCTGAAGTAGAGATGTCGTGCCCGGCTGAGCCAGCTGAAGTGAGGTTGGTACTGGGGCCTTAGCAAGGCGTGTGCTGTGCCAGCTCAGCCCTGGGGCAGTGCTGCTCCTTAACCTGCTGGTTTGCACCCTGGGGCTGTGATTGTGGATGTCCTCACCTCCTGCGGCAGTGCTGAGGTGGGCAGTGGAGCCAGCGTTACTTCTTGGCTTAGCAGTAGAAAAATCACTATTGAAAGACTGTTTACAGTTGTAAAAAGTAGGATTAATTTGGGCTGAGGCCCTGTAGTGTGTGCAGAGAGGCTGTTGAAGTGCTTATCGCCGACCCAGCTGCAGATCGTCTGCGTCTCTGTGCTTCTAGTAGCTTTCTAAATTCTAAATTTCTAAATTTTAGCTTTCGATTTATGTGAAAGACAAAAGTCCCTGTGGCCCTCAACCTGTTGTCTTTGTCCCCAGCTGGGTTTCTAAACGAAGTGCTTTTTACTCCTGCTGATCTGCAGTGTGATGGTAAGCATTAGTCGTGCTGTAACCTTTGGCTTTCAGCTCCGTCTGCAGCGCAGCAGGACAGCCAGCCTCAGCACTGCCGTCAGGAATATGGCTTTAAATGCTCAGAGAAAAAAAGTCTCTCCTGTGTTTGTATGTTGAGGTTTCTCTTTGTCGTGTTTTGCTTTTGAAAAACAAACTCAGAGCTAGCTTTTGGGCTTTTAGAGAGCAGAGCGGGACAGAGCTTCGTGATTCGCACCAAAATCCTGCAAATGAAGCACCTTGTATTTGGTTACTTTTATATCTTTTCTTGTGAGGACAATTTTGGTGCATGGCACTGATAGTAGCAGTGGTTCACCTATCCTGGAGGTGAACACCAGCTCTGTTCTGCAGATGTAACTGCTACATTTGGACTTGTATATCATTAAGAAGACTATTTGGTGTTAATGGTAACCTTACCCTAAAGTGTGAACAGATTTCTCACACGTTTCCCACCATTTTCTGTACTCTTTAATACTGACTAGTCTGGTGTGTTTCTCTGCTGGAAGATATTTGCTTTCATTTAACATTTACTTAGGAGTCTTCTGTTTTGTTTTCCCAGGGAAAGCATATATTTAATCATCCTTGCACATCCTCTCTCCCCAGTCCTGCCTACAGGCCAGGCTGCACGAATTTGGGGAGGAATTGTCATGTAAAGGTTTTCAAATCTCTGGCTGAGGTGTTCTGTCCTGCAGTTGCTTACCATCCTGCACCCTTAGAGTAACGCAGGCAGTAATTTCATGTCTTGTTCCTAGAATTGCTCTTCTGAGTCCATTGTATTTATGGCAAACACACTGGGAAGCTTTCTGTCACCCTTTGCAGTGTGATATGAGAAAGACACTGTTCTTGTTTTTAAAATGACTTTCTCATTTGGTGGACTTGTGGAATGTATTCAAAAGCAGGTCTTGGGGAAAGCGGGCTTCTCTGGGTGAACTCACCAGAGGTGAATGTTCCCCCCGGAACTATGAGGGGCTTCCTTTCAAGGGCCAAAAGAGACGGTCAGACAATCTGTTCTGAGTCCTTTATCTGGGTGCTTCCTCTGGACTGCAAGAGATGCTGCATGCAGGGTTCTGCCCTCCAGCTCTGGCTGTGGCAGGAGCCATGCAGTCAGCATGCCGGCGCTCTCAGGCCTTTCCTGCACAGCTCGTGCTCAGCCCAGCACCGCTGGCTTTTGGATGTTGTTCTGCATCGTGGATCCAACACCAGCAGCTCTTCTCCAGGGACTGCCAGGTGACAGCTTATCAGAGCCCACCTTTCCTCGGCACTTACAGGCATAGCTGTGTGTGTCTCAAGTGCAGCTGCTCCCCTGGGAGCTCTCGCTGTGCACACTCGGAGCAGCAGCAGTGCATGCTGTGGAGGCAGAGCTGCTCTCTGTGGGCTCAGCCTCCCTGGAGCCTCTGTTGCCCCGACTGCAGTGGAGGTGAAGGATGCGAGCTGAGCTCTCCAGTGTGTCTGGGTTACAGTGACAGACAGGGAAAGGGATTCTGTTGTTAGGTAAATCCCAAGGAGGTCTAGCAAAGAGAGTGTCGGGCACTTGCAGAGCAGATGGTTCTGCATGAGATGCTCATAGGAATATGTTTTGTAATGTGAGTTATGACATTACTACTGTAAAGTTTGATGCCTGTGCAGTTTGTACAGAATATTAATTAACTATTGATTTGACCTTGCAGAATTCTCACGCTTGTTTATGTTTGATAAAGGTGGAACTGTTTGTTGGTTGGTTTTTTTTTTAAAGGTATTAATTTTCAGTAAGTTTTTCTATAGGTGAAGATAGAGCAAGAGAGATCAACAAGCTGCACTTACTGATGCCCTTTAAAAGATGTTTTTCTGTTATAGATACCCGCTTTAATATTAATCCTGTAACTGATGAAGAAATAAGACAAGCGGTGTACAAGACCCTGTAATGCTGTTGATAACCAAGGCAGTAAAACAAATTGTTATTTACAAGTGCAGTGGCACAAATGAACCATAGAAAGTTTCATGAATGGGCCACGGGGGCAAGAAAGGCGTTCAGGAATATTTTCTGGAAGATCTGAGTTATTTATTTTGCAACGTCTGCAGGCATTCCTCATGTATTTTAGCTTGCTATTTCTAAGAATTAATGAGGGAATAGGAAATGTAATGCAGAGCTCTGGATGGACCATTTTTAGTGCATTTCTGTTACTCTCAGGTGCAGTAAGTAACGTTCTGCTTCTGATAAATGTGCTTATAGGTGGAGCATCTGTCGTTTATTAGTATGGTACCAGAAAGATATCACTGAGAATTTGAATTCTACTTTCAATTTGATAAAGGCAGTGTATAACAATGCACATTTAGGCTTTTAATACTAAGGAATACAGCTGGAGATGAAGAAACAGCACATGTTCTCTCTTCTAAACGTCCTATGGAATCCTACTTGAATATCTGCTGCTGTGCCCTGTGTCAGCCATTGCTGGAGGTGAGACTGTGCTGAGTGCTAAGGAAAGGACTCGTTTATCTGTAGTTTCTTACGTCTTTTTAATTACAAGTGTATGCACTGTAACAGCAGCTAGCTCACGTTGAGTGTCTTTGGGCTTTGAGAGGTCTCTGAGAAAATGTTTTTTCTGCAGTCATGCAATTAGCATGGCAGCCTGTCTGGGTGCTGAGAGTACAGACTATGACGGAGCTGTTAATTACTTTGAGGTTGGCAGTCCCTGCAGTCAGTGAGAAAGAAAAATTGGCCATGCTGTCCTGGTAGCAGAAGTTAATGGCTGTATTCTGAGCTTTCAAAAGGTGACCTTATGTGAGTCTGTGGAATTCAAAGACCCTGAAAGCTGAAGTGTTAACTGTGCTGTTGAAATGAGTGTGTTTCAGGTGGGAGAAATCTTACATGTAGGCTTGTTGATGGATGCACTTGAGAATTGTATTGTCACTTCATTCCCTCCCAAAAATTGGGTCATGATAGATTGATCATACGACTGCTGTTCCAAAAGTAATGCCTCCTGTTTCATTATGCTGGCCATGACATCAGAGGCGGCTGCTGGTGCCATGGCAGCAGAGGTTGAAGCTTCCCACCAACATCCCGCTATGTTCTGTTGCTGTGTGACAGATGGCAGCAGGGCGGCACTCTGACAGAATGGCATCTGACATGGGAGTGTGTATGGAGCACAGGTGTGTCACTGGGTGCTCCATGTGGAAAGAACTGCACCTACTGACATTCATTGATGCTTGCTGAATGGTGATGGAGACCCAGCAGTGGCTGTGAGCTCAGTGAGGGTGGTGACAGCTGGGGGTGGTGACTGTGTGTTGCAGCTGAGCATTTTCTCTATTAAGTTGTGTTATCTGCTCTATCTGTTGTAATTTCCATGGAATTGAATAGGAGGCATTACTTTTGGAGTGACCCTGCAAAGTTAAATATAGTGTAGTTTTTTGTATGCCTGTTTTCAGTTCTTCTTCATGAAATCAAAAAGTATTTTTCAGTTTCTGTGGCCAAGAGTACTCTGCTGCTGAGCTGTCTTCAGCTTCAGAGCAAGTAGCTTTGCAGACCACTTCATGCTGAGACCTGCTATGCTGAGGATTAGCATTTTCTGGCAGTAACACTTGTTTTGTGCTCATGCTGAAAATCAGCGCCAGCCTGCAGAAAACTTGTACAAGTGGTGTCTGCTGTAATGCATGAAAGGAGTCATTTCAGATCGTGTGACCTGAAGTTTTCTTCACTGGTGGATGAACCAACCTTGAAAGAAATTGTAAAGTTGATTCTGTTAGGTGGAATGCATTTATGTACAACATATGTAAACCGTAATAAGTTATGTATGTAAACTGTAATAAGTTTGCCTGTGCAGCAGTCATGCATCGGGTACTGTGAATAGAAAATAGCTTTCACTTCTTTAAATGTTTTTCCACTTTGTGCTGGGAGAATCAAGACCTTACAAACCAGGAGAATTTAGTTCAATTTCCTTCAAGTTAACAAAGAGGCTTACCCCCAAATTGTTGATCCGAGCTAATGATTGTTAATGATGGCAATGTAAATTGGCACACCTTCAGCCTTGTGGTTGAAGGCCAGTGGGCTAAAATTTCTTTTAAATCTCTTTTGTTAGGAATGTAAGTTCAGATGGAGCAGAAGCACGCAGAAGACTAAGAGAGTGTGATGGCTTGGTGGATGCCCTCCTTCATGCCCTACAGTCTGCAGTTGGCAAGAAAGATACAGACAATAAGGTGAGCTTGAGTATTAAAATGTGAATGGTGTTTCTGTTACTTTAGTCTCAAGTGTTACACTTGGTCTGACTTCTGTTTTGCTAGTTTTAGAATGGGATTGTGCTTGCTTCTTGAAACACAGTACTTGCCTTCCTTTCATCTCTGTCATGATACCCATGATAGTACTAACAGGATCAGCATTGCTGCTGCATTACCTTGTGTGGCTGTTGAGGTGAGCAAAGGCAAGTGGCTGTAATGGGTGAGGAGAGCAGTACTTTCTTATCCTGATGGTATTAATGCTGTTCTGCATTACTTAATCAACTTTCCTAAGTGCAGTCTCTCCAAATCTGAACTGAGTTCTGTTGTATTGTGCTTTGCACAACATCAGCAAGGGGATTAGTTCTCTTTTTAAAGAGTTTTTTCAATGCCAGCTTAAAATGATGTAGTGCCAAGATGTTAAGATATGTCTTTAGACCTGCAGTGCTTTTTGTGGCTTTTTTTCTTTTGTAGGTACAAATGTTGATTCATCTGCTTTTATCATCACTTCATCCTGTAGCGCTTAAAAGAATGTTTAAAAGCATGAGGAATATCTTCAGTTTAACCCTTTAGGAAGGAGCATAGTGTTGCTTTTTAACACCAAAAACTTCATTCTTTATTTTATCATTTCTTTTTTTCCTACCATGTGACAGTGTGCACAGAGGAATTCTAAAGCCCTGTCACTTAATCAGGTATTTTGGAAGTGGATTTTGTAACCACCTGGTGGCTTCCATTGCGACCTACAGAGCGTTGCTCGTGTCAAAACTGACCGTGTTGTATGTTATGAATCAGCTGTTACTGCAGAGCAATGTGCGTTCTCATTGAACTCCTCACACAGCCTTCATTTTGACTCAGATGAGACTTAATAGATAGAGTCTCTTGGGGATTGTAGAGATTGGAAGAGTGAGAGACGATGGTTATTATTATATAAATTATGGTTTTCTGCTGTGTGTTTGATCTTCTGGTGACTTTGTATTCTTTATGCGTGATCAGATGGTTTTCTTGATTAGAGAATTTTCATGTTGAATGGGTACTATTTATGAAGTGTTAACTTTTGAAGAAAAAAATGGTTTAGAGCAGATAAAAATCCTAAATTAGTTTTGGGTTTTTTTTTTTTTTTTTTTTTTTTTTTTTTTTTTACTGAATTTGCTTAATATACCATTCTTCCATTCTTTTCCTGGGGTTTGGCTTTTTTTTTTTTTCCTGGGCTGGCCATTTTTTTTTTTTTTTTTTTTCTTTTTTAACTTCTCCAAACATTCCACTGTGGTGTAATACAACAGTTTGCAGATAGAAGGATACAATACTTATTTCTAATGTAAATTTTTTTGTTGCAGTCCGTGGAGAATTGTGTGTGCATCATGCGGAACCTTTCCTATCATGTCCACAAGGAGGTCCCTGGAGCTGATAAATATCAAGAACTTGATGCTGGTCAGACTGCGGGCACAGGAGGCTCTCAGAAAAAGAAGAAAGACGATGCTGGTTGTTTTGGTGGAAAGAAAGCTAAAGGTATGTCTCACAGAGAACCGAAAACTGGAAGTGTACTTGGGGTAAATTGTGCTGTTCAGTTCTGCTCTTGCAAGCCGTTTCGTAATGCTAGAGAGGTGCAGTTTGCAGAGGTATGTGTTGTAGTGTTGTGGCACACAGTCATCTTCCTTGCTGTGTTACTGCTCAGTGTTTGGGATCTTTGTCCACAACTGCTGCGCTTCTGTTTGGCTTTAAATAGGAGTGATGCATGCTGTTGTAATATGCTGCTGCTGGATAATGGTGGCTGTGCTCTCCTGTCCTTTTCTTGGCTGTGTTCTTGCATCTGTCAGATCTGCGCTTACTCTTGCTTGGCTGCAGAGCATGTGCTGCTGTCTCTGGAAGCCAGGCCAGCACGTGTCCATCTCCATGCATGGGAGTCCTGTCTGTGTTCCATGCCTTCAGTCTCCCACATGAAAACAAACTGAAAGGCTGTCCTCTCACCTGCAACCAGGAGATAGAACCTCCCAATTCTGTCACTCAGTAATTTAAGTTGCAGACACGATCTTGTTGCTTTTAATTGTCAGTCACTTTCAGACCTGTTCTTTCCTCTGGGGCATGAAAGTTGCAAATGATTTTCGTTTCAAGCAAAGATTAACAGTCTCAGTAACCCTGCTTCCATCTTCCTCTTAAAAAGAGATAGCGCAATGCATTTGGGTACAAAAGAAACTTGTGTTTTCTTTGGTGTTCTGAGAAATGACTCTTGTAGGCTAAATTCAGAGGTAATGAACTCATGTTCCTGTCTGGCCTCCATTCTCCACATTGGTGCACGCTCGCATCCTGGCTTACTGTTCATGGCCAGGATCTGAGGAAGGTTTTGGTGCTGAAGGGAATAAGTGAAATTGTTGGAACTTGAGGGACTGTGTTCTGTACAGGGGGCTTCCTTTGATATGACCTGTACATGTTATTAAAACGTTTTGTGTTTCCATATGTGTTAAAGTCGCCACAGAGTGAAGGCACGTTACTAGAGCAGTCTGTCACCAGAGTTGAGTCTGTGCTCAAAGAAATACCACGAACAAAACAAAAAATTAATTGCTGGGAACCTTCTAATGGCTGGGGGGAAACAAAAGACAGTATAACCTACCCAGCCTGCCTGTTCTCATCGTGAATGACTCAAACTTCACTGTGACATCCTTCAGAAACCTGGAGTGCACGTTGACTCGAGCCTCTTTCCTGCCTCTTGTCTCCCGTGTCGTTTGGCCGCTTGAGAGCAGCAGTCGGTGGGAAGGTTTTGACAGTGTGTGCGTTGTGGAGCAGGGGAGCGCAGCGAGGAGCTGTCGTCATCCTGCGATGGCTGTGAAAGCAGAGCGCTCTCGGCTGGCCGTCCTTTGCCATGTGTCTGCCTGCTGCCTGCGCGGCCGGCCCGGTTCTGCGCTGGTACGCCTGGGCAGCTCCTGTCTGTCAGCCACAAAGCCTGACCAGGTCCTTTTGGATTAATTGCTCTCAAAACCATGTGGCACAAGGACGAGCCCACAGACTGCAGCAAGCGGTGCTGGCGCTCAGGGACAGCTTGGGCTTGGCCATGTGTGTAAATGTGCCTTCAAAGTCAGAAATAGAAAATCCCTTTTCCCACTGTTAAATTGATGTGAATACCTAGGCTGAAACTGTCTTAATTGTGTCGGCCGAGGGCTGGAAAATAGGTCGCTTCAATTCCCTCCCTTTTTTGCTCACTTAATCTTGCAGCATTTCCATATTTGCTTTAATTCAGCTCATGATCATCGATCATAGCATTTCAAACACATCTGTGAGGGGCTGGCAGCCTCCCGTCCCCGCGGAGCTCTGAGCCCTTTCCATGGAACGAGGAGGGGCGGGGGAAGGAAGACCTGCAGGGAAAGATTTTTCTCAGCAGGAACAAAAGAAAGAGAGTGGAATATCCGATTCTTTTTGTTTGTTTGTTTGTTTTGGTGGGTTTGTTCTTGTTTTGTTTCTAATCAATCAAAGTTGATAATTTTCTTGTAAGCCTCAGGTTTTAATCTATTTTGTAAAATTCTGCCTCTTTGTGACTGTTCCTTTATATTTTCTTCCTTCCTGTAAATTCTTGTTTTTCTTTTGCTGCTTTTCTGGTAATTAGAGGAGTGGTTCAATCAAGGTGAGTCTCTGCAATACTTTCTTTCCATCATCACCATAATCTACATTGTTCAGCTTCTACATGCAAGGCAAAGAGCTGAGATTAAGGTCTTGTTCATTCACCTTCTCTGCTCCTCCATGCTCTGCTTCCTCCTGTTCATTTCAGCAGGCATGGAAATCTGCTGTGTAATTGAGAGAGCATTTTCAGTTTGTTCTTCTCACGCTAAAAGCAGAAATGGCACATTTTTATTCAGTCCTGGCATAATTGATTTGCAACCAGCCTAACAATCCCTTTTAGGGAGGGCACAGGTAAGTGTGCAAGTTGCCTTGCTAAGTCTATCATGTCAAAGTTTAGTTTTGCTAACTCACCTGGGTAGCAATAAGTGTAAAGACTCAGCAGCTTGGAGTTGTACTCATAAAGGTCATTTTGTCAGCTTGGGAATGTGGCCCAGCCTTCTGCATCTTTGTTACTGACATTCAGGCTAGCTAGATGAAGAAGCTGCTGGGGAGCTGCACCCTTCAGCTTCTCATCCCAGCACAGCAGGTGGAATTGCCATTGGAAATGTACGACTGAGGCTAAAGTTTACCTCCCTTACTCCTCAGCTGGGAGTTCGGTTTGCTGTGCAGTATCCTGGAGATTTCCACTGACACTGAGGGGTAAAGACTGGCTCTTTGTCAATTTGTGACACTTGCTTCAGCTCAGTGTTGTCCGGAGAGTTGAGTCAAAATTAAACTGTTGAAAAAATTGCTCTACGGAACAGACAGTGCTTGTGAGCGTTCTGGGGGATGCTGCTCACAGACTGTGACTGGAGGCCTCTGGGGGGGACCTGCAGAGGGGCAGAGCGCAGCCCTGGCCTTGCATCACCCGCTGAACTGGGCGGTGATGGAGCATATTAACAAAACTTATGAGCACAGCATTGGCTGTTCTGGTGTGACATGAAGAATCTCTGCACTATTTTTTTTTTTTTTTCTAAACTCGAAGTGTTTGGGGATTAATCTTTCAGCAGGAGTGGTCTAGCTGTGAATAGCTGTATTGATTATCCAAGGAAACAAAATGATATTTGAGGAAGATGATAAACAGCACTATTGGTTAATAACACCGGGTTATATCTCACAGTCCTTATTAAGGTTCTGACAGTGAGGATGCCAAAGGTCATGTTTTAGTTGTTTTTTACATAAAAGTTGTGGGGGGAGAGGGAAAGAATTTTAATCCTACTGTTTCAGAGACTGTAAATTGCTTCTTGTACAATCAAGTCTCATGTCAGGCTGTTTTCCCAAAGCAGATTGCTGTGCCAATTCCTTCAGCCAGGTCTCATAAAACAGACCTGTCAGCAGGCACATTCAAAGCTGTCTGTCTCTTGGCCAAGTCTGGAGCTGTGCTTTTGATCCAGCAGCATAATCTTTTCTCTCCTGTTCTTAGAGCTGTAAAACTTGGGGAGGAAGGAGATGTATAGAAGGGAAAAAATTGAGATGTCCAAACCACGTGCCTTAAACTGCTAGCATGATCTTTTAAACATCCCTGTGTGCTAACAATGCTGGCAGGCTTGAGTGATATTCAGAGCTGCAGTGGCTGTCAGTGAAGCTGCTTTCTCATGATGTCATTCAGGGTAGGTGAGGCTGAGAGGTCTGTAATTGATAGGCTCTTGAAATTGCTGAATGCTGTCACCTTGTTAGGAAATCCAAATCAATATTGCGGGTCTCTTGGAAATCAGATGGGAACAGGAGCAGCTGCACCATGTTTGCCTTCCGGATGGATTTCTTTTGGAGTTGTTTTACAGCTTAGTCCTCGTGTTCCTCATCCCCTCCCTATAGGAAAGCCCCAGATAATGGAGGTGCTTTGGGAATTTCTGAACCTGGCCCTTGCTGAATTGGATTAAACAAGCAGTTGGTAAAGCAGAGATCCCATTGGTCAGAGCTCTGTCTCTTGAATTTCTTCCAGTAGTAAACTGCTGGCAGCTTCTGTTCTAAAGAGACGTGGTTTTGTGTGAGGGCTGGTTTAGTTCCTCTGAGAGACAAACCAGTAAAGGCTTCCTAAAAGGTGACCAGTACATTCAGTGTGGTCCAGAAATTGAGACTGCCACTGAAGATGAGAGAATGCAGGGCGGAAAGATGGCTTAGTAAATAGCTGCTTCTGCACTGCCAGCTCAAAAGATGCAGCAGCCTACGCTGCTCTCCTGGACAATGTCTTTAACTGGTGGCACTAGGCTGGAGGGATCCTGCTTCTTACTGAGCCATGTCAGTTCTGCAGGGCTAATAGAAATGACAATTTCCTGTCTTTACATAGAGAACTTCTGAAATAAGTGGTTGTGTTGAGTGGTCTGGCTCTTGCTGCAATTATTCATAGGTTTTTTTAATTAGCTAATGCCAGAGACATGAAATTGGGGATGTGTGATAGGAGTTAGTCATGCTTGTAGTTACAATGGAGTCCCATTTCTTGGTCTGTCCCAAGTTTGTAATATTTCCTAAACAATGACTAATGTCCTCTTCAGTCCCTCTGCTTGGACAGTCTGCAAAGGTTTGCAAGCACTGACAGTGTTCAGCTGTCATTATGAAACGTAGTGTCCTTTACTGTTCATTTTTTCTTTCTGGTATTTAGTTCACCAAGCAATATGCTTCAAGTTCTTTCGTGGAACAGAAACTAGATGGAGGTCTGCAGAGTTACAGCTGCGTCCTGTCCTTCCCTTTAGGAAAGGTGCCTTTCAGAGCACTGGCATGCTGTATGGTCCCGTGACTTTTTGGCAGTTCAGAAAGATGGGCTTTGGGGCTTTGCCATACTTTAATCAAACGGCTTCAGATGAACAGAACTTCAGATGTGTGTTTGGTTTTGTACAGCACTGAAAGTTGGCTGATACTCTGTGCTGAAGATTCAAAATTTAAAAAAAAAAAAAGTAGTATTTACAAAGAAACAGTGGGGATGTAATGCTATCCTGAGGGCTCTTTTCTTTTCTCTTCCTGGCGTTTCTAAATGTTCGTATTGGTATTTAAAAGCACTGTTTCTCTTCTGCACTGCACACGTTTATTTTTCATCAAGAATGTAGAATGGCTCATGGGATTCATCTTCCTGCTTATGACAGGGCAGGGATTGGCCTCTCCTGTTCTCTGACCTGTTCCAGTCCAGAGCCAGACCAGTCTCCATGTTATATTTTCCAATATTTTCTGCCTGTTTGCTGTTAAGCATCCTGACTTGGGCAGCTTTCAGCTCTTCCTGCAGACCTCCCTGAGCAGTCTGGTAGGGTCTGTGTTCAAGAGCAGCTAAACTGAGTGCAAATTCATTGCATCATTCACTATTGCAATTTCTTCTGCTGTTCTTGAGGGAGAGGGACTAGATAACAAGATTTTCCCCCTGAAGTAATTAGGGAAGGCTGAATTGTGTAGTGCTGCCCTCCCAAGCTATGTAGATTCCTGCACTTCCTTCAGAATCTCATATCTCTGTTCCAGGGCTCCCAATGGCAATGCTTGGTTATCCCATAGGGTTTGTGTGTGCTTACCCAAGCCAGAATGTCTCTGCGGTGGAGGAAGAGAAAATTAACGCTTCTCTCCCCAGCTGCATACGTTAAATTGAATCCATAGCCTAAAAGTGAAGTCAAGGTGCTGTTCCACTTTTCTGTGTAGAACTGTTTAAGTTAAAGCTTATGTAATGTATGTTTAGAATTCTCTCAGCAAAAGTATGAAATTGTTTCCCTCATTTGCTAATAAATAGCTAAAATTGCACTTCCTTGATTGGTCTTTACCATCTGTTGTCCTCTTTCTTTTTTTTTTTTTTCTTTTTTGCACAGGAAAGAAAAATGGAGATTTGGACAGGAATTTTGATACACTTGATTTGCCCAAGCGGTCTGAGACAGCAAAAGGTAATGCTAATGTCTGTGCTTTTGGAAATAACAAGTAGCATGTGAGTTGGAGGCTCTTAGAGGGATTTGAGACATGAACCAATCATATTGATCTTTATTTTGTATTTGTTTAATTGAAATAATAGATTTGTCAGTGCTGGTTTTTATCTGGTAATGCTAAATACAAGCAGCTTTTGTATTAAACTTGTAGAGGCCTGCCTGAGCTAAGGATTACCAAAAATCAAGGAAGAAGTAACACTAAATCCAAGGGCTGTGAATGAATTGTTATATTTTGAATTCTAAAAATTGCTTAAAATTTGCAGGTTTCTAATACGTATATTTTTCATTACACCCATAATACAGCATCGTACTGGAAAGTAGAGAATTCTTTTCGTAGCTCAGCCCATAAGTTTATTGTGAGATTCCCATTTCAGGAGAGGTTCAGGTTGGGAATGATGGAAAGGTTCTTCAGAGGATGGTCAGGCCCAGCACAGGGTTCCCAGGGCAGTGGGCACGGCCCTGAGCTGCCAGAGCTGGGGGAGCACTGGGGCACCGCTGTCAGACGTCAGGTTTGCTGTTTGGGCTCTGACCCTTGTGGGTCCCTCCCAACTCAGGCTGTTCTGTGAGTAGGGTTTGGTGATTGTGCCTTGCTGAAGTGTTGAGTGCATGCTGGCTTCCTTTACAACTCCAGCTGTGAATTCCCTCACTGCACCTGAGTGTAAGGAAATACGAGGAAGCATGAAGTGCACTAACCACTGATCTTTTCCCTTTCCTGGCATATCTGTGTTTCTTCAGTTTTTCAGCATTGTGCTTCGGGTTCCAGCAGTTCTCCTTCAGTCTGTACTTCCATCCTGAATATGCTGTCTTTAGTTGAATGCTAAGAGATTGTTTGGGTCTTCTCATACTTCTTATAGCATTGGAAAGTGTTTTGAAACTTGTACAAGTTTGTGTTAGAAGTGTGTGCAGTATCACTGCAGATACAACGACTGTCATAGCAACTGCTGTGGTGCCACACTGTTCACCTGGCCTGGCAGAAGAGCTCTCCTGCAGCACCCTCACCTTCATGATCTGTAAATAGCAAGAACTGAATGTTCTTCAGAGTGTATAACTGAAATTGCAGGCACCCTTTACACTGGTTGCAGTTTCTAGGCTGTTATCCAAACTTTGGTTTTCACTTGGTGCATTATTGCACAAGATAGTAATGCGCCCTCTAGAAGGTGCAATACCATCCTGTACAGAAAGCTGCTGGTCGTACCTCATAACCAGCTTTCACTTTCATGGCATCAGTTCAGGACTGGGCACTGACATTGCAGAGCAAGGAGACTTTGCAAGGATGTTTAAAAAAATTTTTTTTTAAAAAGGCAAAATATAGCAAGGGCTTCAACTCTAACATTCCAATCATACTTAGAAAAGAATGAGGGTGCCAGTAAAGTTTAGGGGAAAAAAAAAAAGATCCAGATTTTCTACAAAGAAATGTATTTTGCATGGCTTTCTTTAAGATTAAACTCTTTGATATGCCTTTTTCTAATGGTAGAGGTGAGGCATATTTAATGGGAGCTACAGCTGTCTGAGCTTACACAGCTCATTATATTCGGTATCTAGAAATCACACACTTGAAGAGATAATTTTTGACAATTCTGAGATGCTCTCGTTTAAATGGAATAGGTTATAATCTGATGACATCTCTCACTACATTGATTAATTGCATGGTGTTTTTTAAGAAGCCGTTGGTGTGGGATCTGCACGTTTGTGTATTCCAAGGGGTGGGGGAATGCAAGGACACTTTTTTGTTCCCTTTTTTTTTATCAGTAGTTTCCTTTAGGACGTTTGGTTAAAGTGAGAGTTCCTGAATATTAAAGGTCATAAAAAGATCTCTAGGACTTTGAATTGTTCAGTGAGACGAATAAAATTGCAGTCTTAAAACCCTTAAGAGCCTAGGTCAGATCTGTGCCATAGAGGATAATTGGCTCTGATGAGATCTGCTCTCAGCTGTGGCAGATCCTTGTAACTGAGACTGGAAAGCCATGCAAATTTTAATGATCAAAGGCACTCCGTTTGAGTGACACAGTTAAGTGCTATTTCAAAAATCAACAATTATAGATTAATCTCTTTCATGTATTATTAAAGTCACATTAAAGTGACTTTTCAACTAGAATCTTTCTAGGCAAGTGAAACTGCGGTAGTAAGTTTTTTTTCCATGCAGGGCAGCAACTGAACATGGGGGTAGCCAACTAAATGTTGGGATGCAGTGTTGCAAGTTTCATGCAGTCCTGAGTCATCGTCCACGGTGCTTTCCTTCCTTGTTGGGCTTAAGAGTGGCTTTGGAGAAGCGCCAACATGATTTCTTTCTGAAATAATCTTAGACGTGATCACTGAGCTTAATTGATACTCTGCTTATCAACTAGCTCAGTCTTGATAGAAAGTATCATCTTCGAAAATTTTGTTTACTCTCAGAATTACAAAAACTGTCATGGAAACCAAGCCGAACGGCGATGCGGTCACATAACTGAATGTGAAAAAGCAGAAACTTCAGTAGCTTCTAGTTGGAGAGGAATGGGGTGGGTGTGTCGGTGTCTGTTTCTGTGGCTGAGGCTTTTTCAGTCCCTGTTCAAAATGGCTTGTGAGCGCGTTCACATCCTGAGCAGAACAAAGGGAATGTGGGGTTGTTACCTGGTTGAAATTCCAGAAATTTTTCTCCCATTATTTGTTTTCTTTGGAGAGTAAGGGATGAATAAAAGGAGATTTTTTTTTTTTCAAATGGATGCTCTGAAGTCTTCTTTTCTTCTCATTGCTCTAGTTGTTTTGTTTTGTTTTTATGAACACTGGATTTTGCTGCAACATAGCATTTGAGCAGCCCTGAAACCATTTCTGTCCCTTTATAACTTCATGTGCTAGGCATTCTGCTGGGGAATGCTTCCAGTTCAGGGTTATCATCTGTAGCAAACTGGATAATGTCAGATGAGAGATCTTGCAGTGCTTTCAGAAGCTGTCTCATCTGATATTTAAAAACGAAGATATGTGTACATGCTCTGGCAGCATCCAGAGTACTGCTGTCCTCGTGAGGAAGGACTGTGGAAGAGAAGCATCATGATTCCACTTTGTTGAAAGGAGTGTATTTTCAACAGGGAGAAAGGATAACTTTTGAGGAAATGATAAGAGCTTGCAGAGGGCCGTATGAGAAGGAAACAGCACTAAGAAGAAATTATGAATGCTGTCATTGGGACCTCACTATATTTAGCACTTTCAGAAATTCCTTCTTCTGTGAGAAGCAGCAGCCTTGCTGAAATCCCTTTCCCCGTATAAAGTAGGTCGCTGACGGTGGTGTTGGCTCTCCCCTCTGCAGCCTGTTTTTCTGCACTACCTTGGTGTGAATGTTGATGTGCACATTAAATATGTAGCATAGTACAATTCCTTGGCTTTGTTAGCAGCATCCTTATTCCTGAGCAAGAGTAGCGACAGGAGGCCCGTGCAGTAGGAGAAGGACAAGGATTAATCATACCTGTGCAGTGGAAAGCAGTGCCTCAAATGGCAGATTAAGAGATAAGAATCAGCATTGGTTTGTGTCAGCCCTCTGAAGGTGTTAGCAAGGTTGTAATGTAATGATAGGAAGGTGCTGGATTGTTCATCTCTGTTCATCAGTGCTACAATGGGAAAGAGAAAGTCCAGAAGAGCAAAACTGCTTTTCGTGTGTAATTGGTCAGTTATTCCTAATTAAGTCCAAGGCTGGTATTTGGGTTAGACAAATCCCTTGACCTCTTGTGTATGCATGCAGACATCTAATGGCATAAAAGGGGATACTCTAAGATGCTTTGAGTGTTGAACTTCAGCTCTGGTTTCATTTCATCTCATTCAGGAGTTGAAAATTTTCAGCCGTGAGGATGGATGTTCAGGTACATTTCAGCCAGTGGGCAAACTAACTCGTTCTCTCCTTTAAATCAGTTACTATATTGTTCATTAATTTTTCCTTTCCATTTTGATTATTTCAGCTCACTTGCATTTTGGGGATGTAAACAGAGGAGAGAGGTGAATTTCTTCTTTCTCTGTTATCTCAAATACTCAGTCACTTTTCATGTAGCCCAATGCAGATGATAGATTTCCTATTCCAGAAGGTGAGCGTTTAAATTCACTTATAAATCTTTGTGTTACTGCTCCAGGAAATTAGACTTCCTGGCACTGTCAGCATAATGACTTTAACTTAGTAGATTACAAAAACGCTAGCAATTTGTCTTCAACTAAAGGCAACACTGTAGTGGGAGAGAGACTTCACTGAAGCTTTTGACTTTATGTTTGTAATTAAGATTAGCTCCTGTTTTCGGTTTCACTGCCATTTTTATTTGTTTTCTTTAAAACTTTACAAGTTGACTCCAGCACTTCAGTCATTAATTATGATTGTCAGAATTGAGTGAGTAGGATTGATGGATAAACAGCCCCATCCACACCCCTCCTGTGTGTGAGAGCAAGGGACTGAGAACATCTCTGTGGGAGCAGGTAATGTGTTCTTGTATTAATATGTTTTAAAGTATTTCATGCACGGTGTTGAGAATTCCTATCAGAATTATTAGTATCTCTTATACCTGTCCTATACTGAGTGTTCTTCTTGGTCCCATGTGTTTTTTCATAATTTGCAAAGCAGTTGAAAGAACTCTCATCTGTCTTCTAAGTCTTTGAGTCAGAGAACAGTTATCTTGGATAGGAAAATTTCCATACATGACCTGCCCTTCCCAACCCTTCTTCATCCTTCTAAATGAGGAGAAACTGACTCAGCTAGAGAGTACGTGGTTATTCTGGAAATAAGGGATGAACACACAGAACTATCCCTGTTCTTTATCCTTCGTTATTATTGAATGTTCAGACTTCCACAGCATGTGCGGGGGCAAAAAGCTAGCAGTCAGAGACAAGATTCTTCCTTTCCATCTTTAGTCCTTTAGGACTATAAAATTACTCTTACAGTCAGTTTCCAGATCTTTCTTGCCTAAGGCTGACATTCAAGATTATAGATCTATTATAATAACTAGCTGTAT